CTTTTTGACAATTATCTGTTGCGAAAACGCAACACTGGTCAGTTAGGATGTAAATTTTTTTTTAATAATACGTTGTTTGGCATATTTTATTAACTCATGTAAAAGAGTTTTAAATAAACTGACATGAAAATAATATAAAAAAATTATTGCGTATTGCTATGACATTTAATAAAACATTTTTCATGCAATGCAACCTTACATTTAATACATCTTTTATTGTATGTTGAGTGATCTTGGGTAGAAATAAGATGGCCGATGTTGTCGAATCGAACATCTTGTGTAATGTTGTTTATGGAAGATTGAAATGGACCAGATCTTCTTGAAGGAGTTCCGTACATCATCAACAAGGCTTTGGCTATATTTCGACGAAACTGCAGCAAATCCATTTCGGGTTGTTCGGGGATAATTTGTCCCATTCTACGGTAAATTAACCAAGTATTTTGTATGGAGACATCAAGACCCCAGATAAATAAAGGCCAATACCACTTCTTAGATCTTATATTTGTTCTGTAATAGGCAACATTTTGATATATCCGATCGACACTTTTCTATTCTATTTGATCGTATGGTTCCTACGTAACCTATTCCCTTCGATATTAAAAAATCAATTAGTTTGCTAAGTTTGATTAGTAAAATCCCTATAAAGGCTTTTAACTCGTCTACTCCAAATTCTAAAGTAGTACCTTTTTGAAGAGCATAAAAATTTTTAAACTTAAGTTAAAAACTTGAGTTAAAAATTAAAAAAAATTTTACTTACGTAGAGTCATACGCCGCCATGTTACCTATCCAACGGTAACTTAAACATCACAAATTATAACTATTAATAATGTAAAACAACTACAAATTCAAAACATTTAAAGGGTTTTGACCCACATATTTTGGTGGCTACTAGCATGTACAACCGTTTGCACTGATGATGGATTTATCAATCCGAAAACGTTTTGCAATGTGTTTGTGATAGCCCGTTTGGGGCATTTTTTATATACCTTTTATAAAGGATTTTAAACAATTTTTTGTGATATATGGTATACAGCCAGCTACAGAAACTTAGTTTCCTAGTGGAATTCAAATATTGTTCCTAGTTGAATTTTTGTATCATTATGATTAAATTTTAATCCAGCTGTTTTTGCTATGTCGTTCAACTTTTTTCAACTACAACTTGTTTGAATGATACTAATCATTGCGTTAATACTGGGTTAATATTTTCTTTAGCTAATTTAATGACACTTCCTGTAAATTTCTCAATGTTATCTAACGACATCTATTAAAAGGCATTATTTATTTTGCCTTTGTTTAATCCAAACATGATTTCTAAACTGAGGTTCTTTGTTAAATGACTTTAATTGACAGTAAAATAAGAGAAGACCTTTTATTACCTACATTTTAATTCTATTGTTAGATTTAAATACCTCATACGCCATAAAAAATGCCTTTGCTGGCTTCTGTGCGCAGCTGTTGCATTCGGCCCTTTATAAAAGTTAACTGTTGGCATCTGTGTAGTCGATCTCTTTTATCCAATATAAAGGGTACCTATAAAAGAATGATAAATCCTTGTGTTTGTTGTCTTTGATATCGATTGAAATATATATAATTCATTGTAAAAATGAATTGAATCGGTTATTTCGAAGAGGCCACAACTCCAGAAATGTTAATTTTACAGGAAAAGAAAAACATGTTTCATTTTGGTATTAATGAAGATATCTGTTTTTCGGAGTAAAGTCTCAAAATGTGATGCTTGACGAAGTTTCATTAACAAATCCAACATAAAAAAGACACAAGAGTACACTGTAAAAAATAACTTATTAACATAACTTAATAACATTTTGGAGTTGAGGCCTTTTCCAAACAAACACTGATGATTTTATGATTAATAATAGAAAACTCCAATATTATGAAGAAAAAAATTTATTACGTGGCAAAAGAACATGCTGAAGGTTAAGAAATAGTCTTTTAGTAATCTTCCTCTGGTGGTTCGTCACTATTAGTGGCCATAAAATCAGCTCACTATGAAAAAACAGTTTGTAGTCTGGCACATATTGTACAAGTGTCTTGATGTTGTACATTTTTTTTTTCGAATTAATAGGGATTTTTCTGTATAACCAGACTCTGTTGGCAAACTAGGATAAACTCCAGCTGGTTTTCGCAAGGAAAATTCATGAAGCATAAGCCCATCGATTAATGGACGTACTTTAACAATTCCCGGTTTTTTGTTGTCATATTCGAACTCATTATATTGAAAAATGTAAGAAGTTGTTTTGTCATGTCTGTTTTTTTTTCATAGGAGTCAATGGAGAGTACGGTTTTCTTATAATGCATGGGCTACAATTTTTTTAATTCCAAAATTGTTTAATTTTTACCAGTTGTATAGAAAAAGAGATTTTCTTGACTATTTTTTTTATCAATTCGTAATATTCTTCAGGAAGAAAAATTCGGTCCTGCTTGCGAATGAGTTTTTTTGCTACCCCGAAGTCTCTATCGCACGGAAGGATGAGTGGCCTCTGATTGGAAAATAATAAAAATGTGATTGAATTTTCTTGACGAAGCAAGAGCTAGAAGGAATCTTATTACTGCGTGGTATCTTCGAGACTCTTTTACATTTTTAAAAACCTTATTTTCAAAATCATTTTTCAAGAAAGTGCACACTTCATTTTCAAAAAAGCAGAATGGAAATAGAGACAGAATTACACCTGCGGAAGGCAGAAGCAGCTCGAAGTGGAATGAAGGAAGATGCAGCCAAGAATAAAGATACCACAACAGTAATTACATTTGATTTGATGAAAACTTTAGCTACTCCTAGTATTTCTACGGGAGTGGCTTATTACAAGAGACAGTTGTGGACGTATTTTTTTGGCATCAACAATCTAACGACAGGACAGATACACATGTATATGGCATGAAGGCATAGCCTCACGTAGCCCACAAGAAATTGGTTCTTGCATTTTACACTACGTAAAAACATAAATGTTAACACACCAGTTTTGGACCAATGCGGAGGTCAGAATCGAAATATTAAACTGGCATCTATTTGTACATACATGAGTGTCTCCAGTACTTTCAGTCCCACATTCATACATCACAAGTTTCTAGTTTCCGGTCACTCCTATTTGCCAAGTGACAGAGACTTTGGAGTGATCAAAAAACAAAAACGATATTTTAAAGACGTTTTTTTGCCAGACGATTGGGTGAAAGTTATTTCCAGTTCCAAAAAGAAGAACAAATTTCAGGTATTTAAAATGACCTCTGAAAGTTTTAAGTGTATTGAAAAACTCGAGAAGTTACTTACAAACCGAAAAAAAGGAGAGATATAAAAGTAGAATGGCTTAAAATACAGTGGCTAATGTTCAAATTAGAAGAGCCATTCAAAATGTATTTTAAGTATTCTAATAACGAGACTGTATTATTTAATTGTGTTGACGTCACAAAAAAAAAGAACAGACGTCTTTCAGATAAAAAGAGAATACTTCTACTTGGACATCCTCTATCCTGCTGGATGGATCTACTTGGGTATCCTGCTGGAAAACACAGGCAGTTGTGAATCCGAAATTAGAAGACGCATTCAACTAGCAAGAGCAGCAATGAGTGAACTAAACGGGGTCTGGCGTGATCGTCACATTACTATGACAAACAAAAAGAGACTCGTTTCAACTCTGGTCTTTTCCATATTTTACTATGCATGCGAGACATGGACAGTCAAAAAATCAGATCGACGACGTATAGACGCCTTTGAAATGTGGACATGGAGACGCCTGCTTCGAATTCCATGGACGGCTCGCCGTACAAATATCTCGGTTCTGGATGAAATTAAACCGGATCAGCGTCTCTCCAGTACCGTTTACTCTAGAATTTTAAAGTTCTTTGGCAATATCCATCGAAGTGATCACAAAATGGAGCGGTTGGTGGTCCAAGGAAGGCCTCAGACTCAACGCCAACGCGGAAGATCTCCACAGCGATGGGCGGACATTACTAAAAAGCTTCTCAATAAACAGTATACTGAGGCAATACATATAACTGATGACCGCGACCAGTGGAGAAATATTATCAATCAAACTGTCCGAGCTGCTGAAACCCAATTATGAACCACAACACATCTACTAAGATGTTAATGACTGTGATGATGATCCTGCTGGAAGACCCATAGAGCAACTAAAGTATAAAGACCTTCAGAGTCTTCTTCCCTACATTCCGCCGGTCTATCATGAATTTTACATAAACCTGAAGACCAACGTGGAGGCAGTAGATAATGATATTGGATCGGAAACAGATGAATAGGTGACCCAAATGAAAGTTTTATGTTTTTTCGTAAAAGCTTAATATTTGACATAGTGGCCCAACTGACTTTTTTTGTAAAAAAAAAGATTTTTTTTGTTAATTTTTGCGCATTCGACTCATATAATGTATTAGGTTCCAGAAATGTTTGTGTAAGTGAATAAAATAATGCTGGTTAATAAAAAAAAACGGTTTCATTTTTAGCTCAATTCTTTATTTGCCGATATATCAAAACATCAATTTTACACTTAGGCCACTCTACTTCTGAGCGACTTAAATATAAGTTAGTGTTTAATCTGTTTTTAATTCCAGCCCTTGGCTGGTGGTCCTTCTTCCTTCAATTCTTTAAATGGGTTATTGTTTAACCAATGTACTAACATTAAAACACCACGCTTGGCAGACGGGTTGATGATGTTCGCAGTATTATTATTATATAATACAGCCGGTTAAAGGTATCCTTCCAAAATTATTGAATGAGAAGTGCTATACTTTGCTAGACTTTAAACAAGGGTGTTAGAAAATCAAGCTCAGTGCTCTTCAGTACACCTTTTAGCGTTTACAAAAATTGTCAGAATGTCATCAATATAATTGTATGAATGTGGTTGTTCATAAACATTTAAAAACTACTGGATATTTTATTATTCCTACACAAAACATAAAACAATATTAGAGTCACTTTTGCCATAGAATTTGTAATTTAACAAATTACATAAAATATTCAAAACACAATATATATCGCATACATTAATTTATTAGATAACAATTTACAAAAACATTCTGTTTTTATGTAGATCTGGAGGCAATGGATTAGGTTCTACCTTCATCAGCTGTTGAAAAGTACCAGAGAAGGCCTCTGCTTGAGATACAAGCCTCACGTTCTCATTGAATTGTTTCAGAACCCTTTCGAAAGTCGGATACAAATGTTTTAACAGCGAATGATCTAGAGTAGGAAACAAGTGGTGCATGCAATGGTCTCCAAACGATGTTAGGACTAGAAAATCAGAACCGGTAATTTCTTTTCTTTCCATTACGGCGTCCAGTTGACTTAAACCCCAGTCATAGGTCTCTAAGGATCTACAAATATAATAATATGTTAAAATATTAAACTCCGTTGGAAAATTGTTTATAAGCAATATTTTAAATGATATATAATCACAAAACATACTCAATATTGTGTTATATAATCCACATAATAAAGTACGTTAGATAAAAAAGGTAAAATCCCGGGTCGTAAAAAAATAGTTTCTGATAAGAATAATAGAATATTAGTTTTCTTCTTCTTCAAGTGCCATCTTCGTTCCGAAGGTTGGCGATCATCAGGGCTATACGTATTTTCGAAACTGCTGACCAAAACAATTCGTTGTTGCTACAGTTATACCATTCCCGTAGATTTTTTAGCCAGGAGTTTCGTCTTCTTCCTATGGACCTGTTTCCTGCTATTTTCCCTTGCATAATTATTCGAAGCAGTTTATATCTTTCGCTTCTTGTAATGTGTCCCAGGTACTGCAGTTTTCGTTTTTTGATCGTAAATATGACTTCCTTTCTTTATTCATTCTTCTCAAGACCTCGACATTTGTGACTCTCTCGGTCCATGATATTCTCAGGATTCTGCGATACATCCACAGTTCAAATGCCTCTAATTTTTTGATATCCATATTTTTCAACGTCCATGACTTCATTCCGTAGAACAGCACAGAAAGTACGTAACATCTCATCAGGCGAAGTTTCATTTCAAGGCTTAAATCTTTTCCGCAGAACACTCTCTTCATTTTAGTGAATATGGATCTGGCTTTTTCTATTCTTATTTTGATTTCTGCTGAGCTATCGTTGTCTTCATTTATAAAAGTGCCTAAATATTTGTATTTGCTAATTCGATCGATAATTTCATTGTGTAAATATATGGACATTTTGTGTTGATTTTGATATTACCATAAATTTAGTTTTCTTTATGTTCAAAGATAGTCCATATTCTTCGCTGCAGTCTGCTATCTTATTCACCAATGTCTGTAGCTCTTCAAGTGTTTTTGCGATCAAAACGATGTCGTCGGTAAATCTCAGATTGTTTAATCTAACACCTACGGATTATTTATTTTAATACCTACGGATTGCTCAGAGAGTGTTCTATTCATTACGTCTTTGGAATAGAGATTAAACAGGGTTGATGACAGTATACACCCTTGTCTCACACCTCGCTTTATTTCAATTTCTTCAGTGGTAATATTCTCTACTCTCACTACTGCTTTCTGATTGTAGTACATATTTGCTATTAGTCGAATGTCTCGTTTATCTAAATTCTTTTCTGTCAGGTGTCTGATTAGGTGATCATGCCGCACTTTATCAAAGGACTTGTTGTAATCTATGAAACACATGAATACATCTTGATTTATGTCAAGACATCTTTGAGACATAACGTTGAGTGCAAACAACGCTTCTTTTGTTCCGAGTCCATTTCGGAATCCAAACTGGGTATTATTGATGTCCATTTCCATTTTTCTGTGTACTCTAGAGTGTATAATTTTCAGAAATATTTTCAGTACATGGCTTATCAGACTGATTGTACGGTAATCAATACATTGTTTGGCATTTATCTTTTTTGGTATAATAACAAAGGTGGATAAAAGCCATTCTTGTGGTATTTTTCCTGATGTATAAATGCTATTGAAAAGTTCAACTAAAATGTGAATCGAGTCTTTTTCGATTGTTGTCTACCATCTGCAAAGAGTTCTTCAATATAGTTTTTCAACTATTTGACTTCAACTGTTTGTTCTTCTAGTTCTGTTATTATGTTTCCGTTGACATTATACAGGGTATTTGGCTGCTTACGTTTTTGTGTACCTGCAAGTTCTTTCACTTTTTTATGTACGTTAAAAATATCATATTTTGCCTGCAATTGCTCTATTTCTGCACATTTTCTTTTATAAAAATCTTCTTTTGCTATTCTGATTTCTATTTTGATTTCTTTCTGTATTTGTTTATACCTTTGTTCGTTTTTTCCTTTCATTATTCTCCGATTTTCCATGAGAAGAAGGATCTTATCAGTCATCCACCTTTTCTTTATTTTTGGTTTTTCTTTAGTCAGAATTTTCTTCGCAGGACCTGTTATCGCCATTTTTACGTTTTGCCATTTTTTCTCTATGTTGTTCGTTGGCTGAGATGTTTCTTTTTCATGAAGTATTTTCAAATTATTATTAATACATTTTTGCAGTTTTGTCCTTTACCGCCAGGTTACATAAATGACTGACATCTATCTGATTTGCTCTTCTTTTCTGCTCCAATCTTTTTTGTTTAATACTCATTTGCGCTATTAGAGGGTTATGGTCTGAAAAGACATCTGCGCCTGGGTAAGCTTTAACGGATTTTAAGGAGTTTCTGTATCGTTCGTTTATCAGTAAAAATTCCAACACTTACCAGTGGAACAGGCAGGATTTCGGCCAAACCGCAGCTGCACAGACCAGGTACTCGCCCTGACCAATTATGTGGAATCAAACTTTCAAAAGCAATCAAAAACAACTGCTGTCTTCATCGATCTATCTGCTGCTTATGACACTGTGTGGCGACAAGGGGCAATATATAAATTAATGCGAATAATTCCATGCAGAAAGACCACTGAGGTTATTAACGCCATGCTATCCAACAGATGCTTTAAAGTTATATTGTTAGACAAGACTAGTACCCAAAGAAAACTGAATAATGGACTTCCACAAGGATCCGTGCTGGCCCCCTTGCTTTTCAGCCTCTATATAGCAGACATGCCAGAAACCACATTAAAAAAGTTTGGATACGCAGACGACTGGACGCTTGCCGCAAGTCATAAAGAATTCGAGGTCACTGAACGCATTCTAATAAACGATTTAAATGCCCTAGGGAATTATTTATGCAAATGGAGATTGCAACCCAATCCAACTAAGACAGAAGTGTCCTGCTTCCAGTTATATAACAAGATGGCCAACTATCAACCTCAAATCAATTTTGGGGATAGAATCCTTAAATATAATAAACACCCAAAATACTTAGGTATTACACTTGACAGAACGCTGAACTTTAAAGAGCATCTTACTAAGACTGCTGCAAAACTCAGAACTCGTAACAACATCCTGCAAAAGCTCTGCGGCACTACATGGGGCTCCTCAGCACCCACACTTAGATCGACAGCATTAGGACTGGTATACCCCGTAGCGGAATACTGTGCACCAGTATGGATAAACAGTCCACATACTCACCGTGTTGATGTCCAACTCAACCAAACCATGCGAACTATATCAGGCACAATCAAGGCCACGCCCACTTACTGGTTACCAGCTTTGAGTCATATAGCTCCACCACCCATCCGCCGGGAACATGCCCTTGTCAGAGAATTTACAAAAATCAATACTGATCCTGAGCTCCGCTCCCATGCCGGAACTTCCGCCAGAGACATAAATAGGCTCCGTTCAAGACACCCGCCTCTAAAAACAGCAAAAAGGCTAGTAGATCAAAACTTTAATGTAACTGAACGGTGGAGATAACAATAGGAGAATAACGCTGCACCAGCTAACTGGAACATGCCATGTATCACAAGAAAACCTGAGGGCTTCAACCAACCGAGACGAATTTGGACCACACTCAATAGAATAAGGACGAACTGTGGCAGATGTTCCGACTCACTTTTTAGATGGGGAAAAATACAATCACCAAATTGCGACTGCGGCGCCGAAAGGCAAACAGTAAAACACATGGTAGAGGAATGCCCGATTAGATCCTATAATGGCAACCCTTCAGATTTTCTGGCTGCTACAAAAGAGTCAATCGAATATATTTATAATCTAGATGTTTGTTTGTAGAATAATATTTTTATATTTACTGTTGTTTGTAATTTATATAATTTATATTTATATATTTATATTTATATGAACCTGTGATGTAGCCATACGCTAAATAAATAAAATCAGTAAAAAATCAATCTGGTTTCAAATTATTCTTTCGTCATTGTCCTGGGGTGATTTCCACGTATAAAGTCTTCTCTTTGGTAAGTTGAAGAATGTATTAGATATAATCATGTTATTCTCCTGGTAGAATTAAAGTAGTCTGTCACCTCGTTCATTTCTTTTACCGAGTCCGTATTCTCCTACATGTTTGCCACTTTTTCCTTTACCAATTTTTGAGTTAAAATCATCTAGAATTACGGTGATGCCTGGTGATTTCGTCGATTTTAATACTTGATTGATTTCTTCGTAGAATTGTTCAATTTCGTCCTCGGATTTATCTGCAGTAGGTGCATAGATATAGATCTGTATGATATTTAATTTACTTGTGTTTGTTTGTAGTTGAAGAAAAAGAAATAGAAATAGAATATCAGTATAAGGTTTAAAAAAAAGTTGGTTAAATTCTCTACTGAAATAAGCTATGAGCACGAGTGCTTAGTTGTATAGTTATTTCCAGCCTCTTCTTGTCTGTTAAAAAGTAACTAACATCGCAAAAAAATAATTACTAAATTCGCTAGACAGTTCGGACTGGGAATAGCGAACCGAGTAATACGATGATTCCCTGTAAGTTTGGTTGTGTGTATATATTTGGTAGCTATAAATACGTATACCTACCTAGTAAGTATTCAGCCATATTTTCTTTAACCTTGGTCAAAATTAAAATTTTAAGGTTTTTCTTAATTAAAGTAGTTATACTTATTTTAGATAGCAACACTGAAGATGGACTATTTAGACCGAAGATATTCTGTACCCATAAGGATTCTTTTAAATAATGGATTTTTTAATAAAAAATTTATAATTGAAATTATTTTAGGTTCTGAATATTATTCGCTCCGTGCGTGACCATGGTAGGGGTACATTGAAACGATGCCAGCGTGCGTAGCGGCGAAATATGACAAAATTGGAATATTGGACAAAATATTTTTACGCATAAGTTTTATCAAAAATGTGTGCAAATACATGTTGCGTATTTAATTCTGCTAATAATAGCAAAAACAGTGAGTGTAGTTTTTATAGGTTCCCAAAGATTACATATAAATTAGGGAAAAGAAAAAGATGAATTCGTGCTATTAATATGAAAAAGTAAATATCACATCATTTCATTTTTATGCAATTCAAATAGGAAAAATTTAAATAATTTACCTTGAATGATATTTCATAAGGTTTCAATCTAACTGCAGATGACTTTAGCTTTTATATCATAACTTTTACTATTATTGTTTTTAATTATATGCTCTTTTGCGTGAAAAACTTGATTTGCCAGTACTAGATTTTTCCCTTTCTTTTCCGTTTGGAGTTGAAAAGATATATTATGATGAATATTGAGAAACCCAGTTTTTAATACTACATTTATTTTGTACATAAACTGAAAAAATATAGTTAAAAAACTAATTTATTAATAATTGTCAATTTTGCATGTATTTAACAATGTCAAACATATGTCATATATTTAACCTGAAAATTGGGACTCCAAAATTGTCAGATGAAGGCGGTAGGTGTCGCATCAGTCACGCACGGAGCGAATTAAGTTTATTTACTTTATTTGGGAGTTCGTAAAAACCATAAAATGCGAGTTTTGAAAATATTTTATTATTTTTTATATAAAAATCTTACCTGGGAGTGTCTCCGTCATGAAAAACATCTGGATGATGATGGGCTGCATGTAGTCCGATTAATGTAAAGACGAAAGAACCCATCAACATGATGAAAGCCCATATAATCAGTGTCTGAGTTATAGTAGCTCCTCCAGTCAACGCCATAAATGCTGGTAGAATTAAATAAGTTAGGTCTGTGTAAGCAACACTTTTATAGTTGCACAACGGAGAAAGCACAATTCTGAAAATTAAATGCTACTAATTCACATGATTTAATTTCTGGTGTTTGTGGTATAATAATTTTCTCAGTGTAATTATATTGTAAGAATACTTCGTCAACATATATTAAACACCAAGACAATTTGGAATATTCCTATTATCTAAAGCAATAATGACAATATAATGGCATTACAATGTATATCACCCTAAGTGACTTTCCAGTTTGTTAAAATATTTTTATTTGTCAAATTCTGTATGATCGGTAAGAATATTGTATAAACGCTAAAAACAACATATAAAAAAGTATTACGATAACCAAACGGTTAACTGGAAAAGAAAGTATAGAGAGACGCAAATAAAGTGAAACGATACCTGAATCTACACGCTATAACTTGTGGCCAACTAAGGAAAGTATGATGCACATATATGAAAAGGAATTAAAAAGAGGAATATGAGAAATTGGTACTCGTCATAACTATAGATTAAACTGCATATAAACGTATAGCTAAAGGTCAAAAAAACCTTAAAATAAATTAATAGTGTGGAGAATGCACGTGCTTTTCTTGTATCTGGAATAGGGATAGTTTTTAAAATAGTGTTTTGTTATAAAAATTGAATGTTTATTTTAGTTATTTACACACGCACGATTCTTGTTTATTACACATCAAATATAATGACTATATGAGTGCACGAGATGCAAAACTCGCTAATCGACAAAAATTGAAAAAAGTAGTTAAGCACGCCATCTTGTTCGTACAATATTTAATTATTATTTTACACAAGTATTTGGAGCAAAACTAGCTTTTTAACACATCCGTCCCAAAAATCATGACTTGATGCAAAACTCGCTTTATGCATTGATGCGTGCGATGCAAAACTCTCTATTTGTACGGCGTTCAATAACAGCATCGGATTTTACTCACGTGGTTAGGGAAGGGCATCATGCATGTTGTTTGTTTCCTAGTGTGGTTTGACCGTTTGACTCAGACGCGTTTTAGCGGTATTCTAAATTATTTGTTTAACTGTAAGTTTCACGTTTTTAAATTATTAAAATGCAAATAGACAGTGAAATTTATGCAGCCAATGCTAGTGTTATTTCTGCAATATAACCTACTCCAAAGAACATGTGTAGAACGAAAATTACGACGGAAAGTAAAAGACAAAAGCTCAGAAGATTGAGGTAATAAAAACGGTATCAATTTGTTAAAATATTTTTTTAAAACTGTGTTATTTTAGGCACACTCCGACACATTTACCGGAGTACCCGACCTGTGAACATAACGGTCAGCCAGGTAAGCCGTACTATTGTGCCACTTTAACAATGAGCGAAATTCAAGATTTTCATAGAAAACTGTATGCTTCTAAGGAAAAATGTAGACAAGATAGTTTTATAATTGCAACTTGTGAAGGCCAGAAGTGCAAAAGATCAAAAGTGGAAAAGGAAAAAATATCCATTTTGCATTATGTAACCACTTCTGCTAAAAAAATCCGTGTTTGTCAGACGGCATTCTTAAAAATCACATTCCTTAGTAGAGATCGGATTGAGAGAGTCATGAAAAACTTTGTTTTAGAAGGGAATATACCACGAGAAACAAGATCACGGAGGTGGTCACATCCTTAATAAAAACGATGATAAAAAGTTAGCAATAAAACATTTAATTGAATCTCTCCAATGCATAGAGAGCCATTACTGTAGAAGTAGAATTAGTACTCGTCTTTATTTACCATGTGAACTTAATTTTACAAAATTATGGAAAATATACGAATCTAAAGTTCGGGATAACCAACTATATGTTAAATTGGCATTTTTTTGGACATACATAAATTCTAATTACAACATCGGATTTGGCACCCTAAAAACTGATCAAAAATATTTCTAGTTCAGAAAAGCAGATTATTATCACTGAACAACGGATACATAGACTTAAAGCAAAGGCATTTTTTGCCTTATTAAAGCAGCCGCTCGAAAATACAGCGGTTTTTTCGTTTGATTCTCAGAAAATTTGCCTTTGCCTAAGCTTCCGGATCAAGCTAGTTATTTTAGTCAACAAATTAACTATTACAACTTTACGGTAATTCATGGATCATCAGCAGCACAGTTGATTCCAGAAAATGTTTATTCTTATGTTTGGACGGAGGTGGATTTTCCCAAAAATTCTAATTCGGCAGCTTCAGCTGTTTGGGATGTACTGAATAAGTTTAACTTTCCCAATGAAATCGATACAATTCGTTTATTTTCTGATGGATGTGGGGGGCAAAATAAGAATATTATAATGATGACCATGCTTTCTGTTTGGTTGATGACGAAAGCTCCCACAAACATAAAGACCATTAACATAATATTCCCCGTAGTGGGACATTCTTTTATACCATCTAATAGGTTGTTCGGAATGATTGAAAGAGAGGTAAAAAAGAAATCCGTTATTTTAAAAACTTCTGACTACGAAGATATTATAGCAAATAAGTCGACAATTAGAAAATTGGGTTTAGATTGGCAGGTATATGACTGGAAGAATGAACAAGAATGCACAAGTAAACACCAAAGCACCATCCTCATGGCACATTTAGTTTAATAAGGCTAAAAGGTTTGTGCTTACTAAAGGGAAAACCAATGCACTAATACGAGGTGAGCCCAATTATTGTGTTGACGTCGGTGAAGCCAAGTCTGTTGTTAAGAGAGGAATAAAATTGACACCTACCAATCCTACTCAACTTCCTATTGGCTGCAAACTCAAAGGCAATAAATCGACAATAATTTCTCTTTTTAAAAACCATTATGGAAACGCTTGGGAAGAAAATCCTGATTTGGTTTTCTTCAAAGAAAATCTTGTTAACCCTCGAAGGGTGGAAAACCAGACTTCTGTAAACGATGTTGAAGCTGGCTGCAGTGGTTTAAAACCTTGCGATATTAATTTACCAATTTAAGGTAATATGTAAATAACTGTTTAATTTTTTTGTGAATAAAATTTGTTCGAAACTATTGATGTAACATTTTTTGGTGCAAAACTCGCTAAATGCATTCTTTTTTCTTCATTTATTAAAAAAATCTGCACTATTTTTTTAAAATATGTTAAAAACTATTAGAGGTGTATATGTTCTAACGGCACGCTAACATCATTAATTGGTTATTAACAAATATAATGCAAAAAACGTTTTTTGCACTTTTCTCAAATTGACTTTACATGCATTAAGCGAGTTTTGCATCTTGTGCACTCATATATTTTGATTCAAAATGACCTATACATTAAGGTATAAATTGGAAATGCGCATGAGAAGCAAGGTCAATATTTATTATTGTTGTAGGTGTATCTTCGGGCGTCCTACCCTATCCATTGTATAATAAGCATGTATTACTTAAGTTATTAATAAACCATCTTTTTTCCTTTTCCACCTGCTGCGAGATAGATAAGTCACTCTATCACCAACAAAAAGAAATAAGAATATGTGAACAGTACAAATATTTAGGGACACATTTTGGAGCAATGGATGTAAAAATTGGAAACTACAAGAAGTCATAAAAAAACTGGATACGCTCTAGATCAGTGATTCTCAACCTGTGGTCCGCGAAGTGAACAGTCATAAAATAATCAATTTAAATCTTGGTTCTTGAGACGTAAATTAATGCGCCGGCCTATCTTTTTAACTCAAAACGTTTCCAGACGACCAAGCGCGCCTGAACACAGGTTCATTCACCTCAATCTTCCGCGTATTTTCCCTCACACGCCAAATAGTTAGTTGCATTATCTTCGTTTAGTTTCGGCCGCTGTCGTGTACGTACAGGACACTGCGACCACTGCGTTTTTGATCGCGCCACTACTCAGTGCAGTGACTCAGTGCTGACTCAACTGTCAAGTGACGAGCGTGCGTCTTTTTTGGCTTGATGATTGTAGTTTACTAAAATGAGCAAACAGATGAAACTTTCGGGTTTTTTTAAGAAGACGGATAGTGAGAACGTTAAAGAAGGATGTTCTACTAGTAATATTGCCAGTGAGAGCACAATATTAACTCAAACTGGTCCTAAAAGAAAGGCTGCTAACCGTAAGTACAATCCTGACTACATAGCATGTGGATTTACATTCATTGAAGAATTTGGTGTCCAGTTACCTCAATGTGTAATTTGTGCGGAGGTATTAAGTAATGAGGCAATAAAGCCGGCAAAATTAACTAGACACTTTGAAACAAAGCATAACAATTTTGCCGGAAAACATGTAGATTTCTTTAAGAGGAAGGAGACGGAACTAAAATCGTCAAAAAGTATCCTTAAGTCATACTCAACTTATGATAAAGCTACTTTGAAGGCGTCATATCAACTTTCACTTAGAATCGTAAAAACGAAAAAACCCTTTACTGTTGGTGAGGAATTAGTTTTACCATGTATCGTAGATGCAACTAAAGCAATTTTAGGTGATAAATACGCTAAATAAATGCAAAATATTCTTCTTTCCAATGACACCGTTAGTAGGAGAATTGAAGAAATGGCATCAGATGTTGAAACCCAACTTCTAAAGAAAATTCATTCCTCAAAGATTTTTGCTGTACAACTTGATGAATCTACAGATATTACCAATAAAGCTATTCTTCTTGTTTATATACGATTCATAGATAAAGACAACAACAAATTATCTGAGGAGTTGCCTGACCTCGATTGAGTTGCAAGGTAACACAACCGGAAAAGACATTTTTAAAGCCATTGACGGATATTTCACAATTAAAAATCTTTCTTGGAAAGACTGTGTAGGACTTTGCTCTGATGGTGCCGCGGCAATGACAGGTTACAAAACAGGCTTGCCAAGTTTTGTAGGGAAAGAAGGAAACCGTGATATTGTTTTAACACACTGTATTATTCATCGCGAAATGCTTGCTGCCAAAAGATTAAGTCCCGACCTAAACAAGGTTTTGACTACTGTGGTAAAGGCCGTGAACTTTATAAAAAGTAATGCTCTTACTTCGAGATTGTTTGCTTTGTTATGCGAGGACATGGGATCCATCCATTCCAATCTCCTTCTACATAGCGAAGTTAGGTGGCTGTCCAGAGGCCGGGTTTTAGCCAGATTTTATGAACTTCGAGAAGAAGTATGTATGTATCTTGATGAAAAAAAAAACCTGATTTAGCGAAAACACTGCGTGACGGAGAATTTAGGGCCCAGTTAGCTTTTTAGCAGATATTTTTGAACAGCTCAACATATTGAATCTAAAACCGCATTTGACCTTTGGAAAAAAATTGATTCATTTAAGACAAAATTGTTGCTCTGGGAGTCCGAAGCTAGAAATGGATCGTTTGAAATGTTCAACTTGTTTTCAGATTTTATCTCTGAAAATAAAGGCTTAAATGAGGATGTTTTACATTCACTGGTTAAGTCCTACATTAAGTCGCTTCAAGATTACTTTTAAAAGTACTTCCCTGCTGATACAGATGTGAGGAAAAATAATCTGTGGGTGATTGATCCCTTTTTAGCTACCCAAAATAATAATCTGTCTATTCAGGAAAATGAACAGCTTATTGAAATTTCATCCGATGATCATTTAAAAGTGATAAAATCTCACTGCGAAAATGTTGCAGATTTTTGGATAGGACTACTTGATGAAAGTCCACTGCTAAGTAAAAAAGCTTTGGAAAAAGTTGAGAACCACTGATCTAGATAAAATAATCGGTAAGAAGTTTCTATAGAGATAGAATGCAAAAGAAGCAAAAAGAATTATCAAAATAGAAGTTTTAATAGTTGATGATATAAAAAGATATATACTGATTTGGTACCAGCACGTTAACAGAATGGATGCTGGAAGGCTGCCAAGAAAAACTTTCTTCAGTGAATTTCATCAGATTAATACAAGAGATAGAGAACGAGTATCAGTTGGATGTAAAATATCCACAAGGCAATGAGTACAAGAGACCTGAGAAAATGTGATTGGAACAACAGACAAAGATGGAAACAGGATCAGTAAGTATTTTTTAAATATTTTTAAATTACCTTCTAAGATAATATCCTGGAAATGTTATCGACCATATAACTGGTGATAATAATACTGATATATAACCTCCAACAAACTTTTTTATTGGCAAAAATGATAACATGGGTTCCGTTTGAGATATTTCTAAATCAATAATCGTGTTCGTATAGAGATGGTGGCTGAGAACGTGGCTTATCCTCCAATCCCTAAAAATAAAGTAAATAGACAAAAATTATAAATAAATTACTTTTTTATATTATTATTTAAAGTATAATAAACAAAAAAAAATAGTTAATATATTTTTTGTGCTCAGCAAGCAATAGTTTAACCCAGCCTGGGAGACTTACACACTTCTTTAATGTCATACTTAAGAAGTGTGTAAATCTCTTAGGCTGGGTACAAATACAATATCATTGGAGCGAGGAGGATTAACTCGTGTAACTAGGAAATACTCCACCTCGCCCCAATACTCCAGATCACCCACTTCCCCGATAGCTCTCTGATGCGCTATAGAGGCTTTTTTATCAGCAAATTTCTTGTCATATGAGAGTTCTGTTTACAAAGCCAGCCACATGAAATCCTACCCCGAACAATGCAGACCAGCGCTATCTCTAGTGACTTATCATCGAGCTGTATTGCTTGTTCGGCCCTCAAGTCCTTGCTCTGGACTACGCCCAGTTCAGTAACTCGGATCTCGAGAATATGAGCCCTTCTTGTCAGATTTTTGGGCTGTGTTAGTATTTCTTTTGGCTTGCGCCCTTTGTTATTTTTTATTCGTTTTTTGGACCGATTAAAGCCATTTTTGTGCTTTTTGTAGATTTTTTTAGAGCTATCTGAAACATAAAATCAACATTAGTAAATACAATGCCATAGCAAAGGTAAGCGCATTGTCTTCTTTTGATAGGGCTATGATTATCTAGACTTATTATATTTTATTTAATGCTTTCTGTAGTTTCGTCTGAATAAAAGCTAATTAGTGTTCTGGGTGTTCTTGGAACGTCTGCTGTATATATGCTACACAGAAAGGGTGATAAGACTACCTCGTACTACAGCTTGTGGGATTACGTGTTCAGATAGAACTGGTCCTATTTGGACTCTTAATCTCCGGTCTATTAGGTGTGAGGACATGAGTTTCATCATGGCTCCACTGTATCCATAATCTATTATTTTGTATGTCAGTCCTTCATGTCACGCTCTTTCAAAGGCTTTATTTACATCCAGGAAGGCTGCTTCTAAACATAGCTTGTCTATGAATCTAGCTGATATATCTTCTGTAAGTCTGAGTACTTGTAATTTGTCGGAATGTTGAGCTCTGAATCCGAATTGTGCTTTTGGGGCTTAACCCTAGTCTGTATGGGAAGCAAGGTTATCTCTGATAAGATTCTGGTTTAAATGACTCACTCTACTATCTTACTGACTGATGGAAATAAGCTAATCGGCCTGTAATTTTGCATAAATATGTGGTTCATTCCTGGCTTTGGTATCATGATTACACGGGCTTCCTTCCATCTGTTTTTGAAGAGCTTGTATCCTAGTATTGCATTTGTTATGTTCGTCAAATACACAATTGTTTTCGAAAAAAGATACTCCAAGGCTCTGTTAGTGATTTAGTCTGGACCAGGTGCTTTCTTTGGTAAAATTTATCTTATCAGATCATGTATTTCTCTTGGTGATGTAGGATATTTTCTTCTTCAAGTGCGATCTTTGCGGCTGAGGTCTGCAATCATCATAGCTATTCGGACTTTTAAGACAGCTGCTCTGAAAACTTCATTTGATGTACATCTGTACCATTCTTTCAGGTTGCGCAGCCATTACATTCTACGCCTCCCTATGCTTCTCTTTCCTTGGATGTTTTCCTGCATAATTAGTTGGAGCAAGGTGTATTTCTCTCCACGTGTAATATGTCCGAGATATTCTAATTTTCCTGTTTTAATTATAGGATATAATATGTGGGATATACTTAGTCTCAAATTAGAGCATTGTTTTAAATTGGGTAATATATCAGGACGTATATGTTTCGAATTGGGTGAAAAGTATATTTCACTATGAGTGAGTTCTCAAACATTGGCTTAACTTTTTATTAAACAATATATTAAATAAATTCAAAAAATTCAGTATTTTTCAACGTTTTTCTCTATCTCACAGCAAATATTGGTTGTAGAGCAATTTTGCTAGAGGAATAATAGTTTTGTAAATAAATTAGACATAAGATATGTAAATGACGTTGCAAATCAAAAAAATATTATTATTACTGAAAAAATACTAAAAATCACAAAAAAAGTTGTTTGTAAACTTATCGGAAATGTTTGAATCGGCCTTATAGTTTTATATGACCGCATGTCATAAGCGCGCATGTCCGTGAGTTTAAAAAAAATGGTAAAAGAGCAATCTCGGCCGGTGATTTGATTCCTATTTTTAGAAGAGAAATCGCACAGCGAACTCAAAGATCCTTGGAAGCTATATCATCATCCAGCCGAATTTTCACATCCATTGTTGGATATAGTTCTCCTCCAAACGTCTCCAGTTCTCTCTATCTCTAACTGCTGCAATCCAGTTTGTTTCTATTCTCCTTAGGTCGTCGGTCCATCGGGTGGGTGGTCTGCCTCGACTTCGCTTGTCGGCTCTTGGTCTCTACTCCAATAATCTCTTCGTCCATCTTCCGTCTTCCATTCTAGCAACATGTCCAGCCCACCTCCACTTTTGTTTATTGATTCGCAGTATAATATCGTCTACGCCAGTTCGTCGGCGTATCTCCTCATTTCTTACGCGATCTTTCAAGGTCAGGCCCAGATTTGATCTCTCCATTCGCCTTTGTGTTATCCTCAGTTTTTCGGCAGTAGCTTTAGTTAAAGTTAAGGTCTCTGCTCCGTAGGTCAAGACTGGTAAGATGCATTGGTTAAATGCCTTCCTTTTCAGGTGAATTGGGATATTTGTTTTAAAAATGTCCGTCATCCGTCCATATGCCGCCCATCCCAACATGATTCGTCTAGTTAGCTCGCAGGTTTGGTTGTCTCTGGTTATTCTAATTTCATGACCCAAGTATGTGTATTTATCGATTAATTCTACCTTGTTGTTATTGATCTGTATCTCTTCGCTGGGAACCATATTGCTCATCATTTTGGTTTTCTCGAAATTTATCTCCAGCCCAGTTTCTTGTAGTATGTCATTCAGTTCTTGGAGCATGTCTTTGATCTCTCCCAGATTATCTGACAGAAGCACGATATCGTCCGCAAAATGTAGATGGTTTAATCTTTCTCCATCGATGGATATTCCTTTCTGTTGCCATGTTAGTCTTTTAAATGCATACTCAAGAACGGTAATGAACAGCTTTGGTGACATAGTATCTCCTTGCCTGACTCCCCTTTTTATCTTTATTTTATTAGTTTCAGAATATAGACTTATGGTTGTTATGGCATTTTCATATATATTTTTAATTATATTACAATATCTGTGGTCGATCCTGCAATCTTGTAGTGCTTTTAAGATGGACGGTAGTTCCACTGTATCAAACGCCTTTTTAAAGTCTACAAATATCAATGCCAAGGGACGGTTATATTCGTTAGTTTTTTCTATTAGGGTTTTTAGGCACTGCAGGTGATCGTTTGTGCCGTAATTAGGGCGGAAACCAGCTTGTTCCCAAGGTTGGTAAAAATCCAGCTTTGTCTCTAATCTATTCGTTATTATTCGGGTGTATAATTTATAAAGATGGTTAAGGAGACTGATTGGTCTGTATCTTTCCAGATCTGCTATATCTCCCTTCTTGTGTAAGAGTACTCCCTTCTTGTGTAAGATTTATTGAATTATTCCACTTTGTTGGGATATTTTGATTCCATAGGCATAGATTAAAGAGCTTTTGAATTTTGTCTATCAGTACTGAGCCTCCTATCTTTATCGCTTCCGTGACGACACCGTCCTCCCCCGGAGCTTTGTTATTCTTCATTTTTTTTAGGGTCTTGTAAATTTCGTACAAGGAGATTTCTGGTATATCTTCGGAACCCTGATTTTGAACCTTCCTCTGTTGATATTCGACTATATCTAGAGTCGATTGGTTGCTATATAATGTCTCATAGAATGATTCCACAATTTGTAACAAATGTTCTCTGTTTGATGTGATGTTGCCACTTCTATCCTTGAGTTTGACTATTTGTGTTTGGGAGCTATATAAGGTGATTATTCTACTTCGATGGTGACCACCAAAAATTGGATTATCGACTTTCAAAGTAGTACGACTAGGTACCCCGAAAAAGGCTACCACGTTTACAACACAGACTGCCGAATAATGATGCTCGATATACCTAAGACTGCGTCCTGCGTGACATTTTGGGCATGCGAAAGCTGCCGACGGATGGGTGCTGCGTTTGCTCACTCCGAACAACAGGCGTAACCATGAGACCAATTCAGAGCAATGTTTATTATGCTGTTTAAGCCCAATCTGAACGAGTTTCTGCTTTATTTCCTGACTTTCGACCAAGTATGAATATACTGGTATTCACCCAAGACCAATAATTGTTGCCCCATCCACTGTATCCTTCAGATTTAGCCCCACGCGATTTATTTTTATTTGAGACATTTAAGTGGAATGAGGAGGTCACCACAGCCATGTAGGCATATTTTGTAGAATTCAGAAACGTTTTTTTTTCAGACAGGTTAAATAAGTTGGAGCATCGGCGAGGTCTATGTTGGAAAATGAATCACCACTTTTACAGTGTTATATAGCATATATACAGTTAACATTCAAACAATTTCTAGTATGCTGCACTAAGACATACTAACCTTACTTGAAACATCGAAAACTGGAAATAATACATGCGAAAGTTATCCCTTCGATGAATATAGTTATGTGCAGCAACAGTAAGTAAACTTAAAAATACTCCAGCTAGTGTTATTAATAAAAAACTATGGTATCTTACTGATAACGATGAAAAAATTAAAGTCGCCACTAAAAGTAGATCACTATAAAAATCTGAGATTAAATAACCGCTTCGTGGTATGTCTTTTAATTTTTTTCGTGCCTCCATTTTTAAAACTCTGTAAAATCCGTCATCTTTGAATGTAAATGGCACATTCCTCTTTGTGGTTGCTTTTTTTACGAAATATTTTTCTATCATCTTTTCAGGTACTTCAGATATGTGATGAGTCTCGAAAGCTTCCGATATATCTGTACCCTAAAAGATTAAAATTACACAATAATACTATAACTACAATATTAACAAACTAATATAAAATAAAAAGTAATTCAATTTCAAATAAATTTGTCAAAAATGTTAAAAGTGGAAATTAAGCAATGGCATTAAAAATTTCAGAACTGTTATCAGCCCATCATCATACTTCAATTGGCTGATATCAACCGTAGGGTATTTTCGAGAACTTTTCGAGAAGGGTTATTAGACCTTGGTATGGAGCTAGTTTTAGCTACTTTTAAGATGAAACTGTTGATGCTCTGATAATACCAAAAACATTCTAAAATTTTTAATCCTTTTGAATAATTTCAGTTTTATAGTTTTTATTTCATTGTAAGCTTTTTTAATCACTTATTAGTTTTTTTTTTCAAAATTACAAAATGCTTACATTCGTTAGTTTTAACCAATCTGATCCTCCAGGATGTTGATTGATAAAATTTGTAAAATCGTATAATCCATCATGAATTCTCCAAAAACCTTCTGCACCATCTGTCTGTCTTCTTTCGTCCATCCACACGTGACTCGTTAAAAACATAGGACGTTTAAGCCTTGTAGAAGAAACCTTTATTCCTAAAGATGATTTTGGAATAAATTCTCCACTTGGTTCAATCTCAAAAAAAAATAATAAAAATTTAATGAAAATTGTGTAAACGAAAATTTACAAGTAAAAGTGTAAGGTGTAGTGACAAGTGACAAGTTAGTCATCATACATCAACAATGTAAAATGTGCTGCCAACATACATATAATAATCATATTACTGAATTGTACAGCAACACCCCCTCTCAATTCTACAAAAGTACAAATGAATTAAGTACAAATTGCAAACAAAATTACAATATACTAATAAACTGTAAAATTAAACATTAGTTTTAGAAACATTCAAACAATTTCTCAATAATTCAAATTAAGTAACAGGCAATGCCTTAGTCATAATATCAGCTATAATAACTGTTTGTTTGTAGGAACATACTCAATAACAAAATTTCCTTTATTTTCCATATCTTTTACAAAATGATGTTTTACATCAATATGTTTTGAGCGCTTGGTCTCATAAGTTTGAGCCACTTTTATACAACCTTGGTTGTCCTCAAAAATTTTAATAGGATATTGAAAATCAAACATTTCTTTTAACAGTTGACCTAAAAACAAACACTCAGTCATACAAGCAGACATAGTTAAATATTCAGCTTCACTGCTACTAAGGGCAACTACAGATTTCTTTTTAGAACACCAGTTTACAACTTTATTATTACAAAGAATAACATATCCAGAAACACTATTTCTGTCATTAGCATCACTAGCAAAATCTGAGTCAGCATATGCATGAACAGAAACTTGATCATTTTTAGTAAATTTATTGTATATGAATCCCAACTCATTAGTATAGCTCAAATAACGAATTACATTTTTAAGTGCTTCCATCATTCCCATCGAAGTATCTTGGGTTTTAGTTATCTCCAAAACATTATCCCCAACTAACTGAACAATAATATCTTTTGCAGTCGAATCACTTTTAACAAAGTCTTTGTACTTATCGTCAGTCCTAGCAGGTTTCTCTTGAGAAATGACATCAAGAACACCATGTCCAATGTTCTTTCCAATCGAAACTTCCATGAATCAAAACCGGCTCCATTAAATTGTTTTAGATTAGCCATAAAAAATTGATTGTTGGAGGAAGCCATAACTAAATGAAACACGTGCAAAAATTGTAAACACAATTTTTCCTGCAAACTACACTACAAATTTTATTTTTATTTACAAGTGTAAGGTGTAGTAACAAGTGACAAGTAAGTCATCATACATCAACAATGTAAAATGTGCTGCCAACATACATATAATAATTATATTACTGAATTGTACAGCAACATCTGATGAGACCAACTAATGAAACATGCTTGTAAAGTATAATATGCTTATATATCAGTTCTACGTATCAGTGCCAAAGAATTAAACGTTGTTGATGGGTGTTTCAAGTAGTCTGAACTTGGAAATGTAAACATTTTTTAAAAGATTGTTTAAAAAAGTCAAAGATTTAAAATAGATATAAAATTCATCATCATCATTCTCCTTACTTTTGTCCTTTTTTTTTTGTCACTTGACTTATCCACCTAATCATTCTTATTTCTGCCAAATGCATTCGTTTTGCCTCTTTTTAACTGTCTAACACTCAGTTGCGTACATCGTAGCTGTCTCATTGGAGATTTATGTAATTTTTTCTTCATTTTGATTGGAACCTCTGCATGCATCTACCCCATCGAGTAAAAAGGCAAGTCTACCCATAACTTCGTAATACCAATTCTAGGAGCTTAACACTATTTCTTTTCATAATCATTTTACAGTCCAAAGTTATCGTTTTAATTGTAGTAACTCCATTATCTATATAATCAGATTGAATACATGCCAGTAAATAAGAGGTATAGGAACAACTGTACATCTGTCAAAACATACCCGGGGCAGGCATAAATTCTGTCCATGTAAAAGTTTTAGGTAATTTCAAAGTCAAAATGAAGAAGGTTAGAAGAAAGTCGATGAAGAACTATGATGTTAGAAAACTGAAAGATACCAATGTTCGACCGAAGGTGAGTGAAAACCTCAATACAAAGGTGCTAAAATGCAGAAATGCAGGAACTATAGAGGAACGTCTGACAGAGGAACACCTGAAGAAAGATACAGACAAGCGGAAATCGTGGATAACCGATGAAATACTTGAACTTAAGGATCAGAGAAAAAAAACAAAATAAATCTCTAAGAATATAAGAGAATACATGTCATCGCCAGAAGAAAGATAAGAAATGCCAAAAAGAAACAAAAAACAGAACAACGTCAAGAAATAAAGGAATACCAGAGTCGATATGATAATTTTAATGTCCATGGAAAGATGAATTAAATAGCTGGAAAGTCCTGAGAACGCAACAGCGGAAAAATAGAAGTGCTGAAGAGGACAGGGATTGATGGAAAAGACCTAAAAATAATAGCTTATTTGTATTGGTATCGATCAGCGGTGCTCCGAATAGATGGAGAATATACAGATCAGGTTCAAATCTTAAGGGAGTGAGACAGTGGTGCATTATTTTATCACTAATATTCAATCTGCACTCGGAGCACATTTTTGCAGAGGCTCTAAAAGATATTGATTAAGGCATCTTAATAAATGGAGTCAAGCTCAATAACCTGCGGTATGCAGAGGATACAATAGTGTTTTCCAATATCAAAGAAGGGCTGCAAAGGGTTTATTGAACAAAATAACGGAAACAAGTAGAACATGTGGACTGAATATAAACACCAGAAAAACCAAGCTACTGATCATCAGCAAGGATATGTTTTTCTTGCTGATGATCAGTAAATGGATCTGGAGCAAATCTGTATGCGAACCAAATGAGAATTAAATACGTATCTCACAGTACAACTACTTGGGAATTATAATCAATAAGTGGGTATTGTCGTGGGACAATACCCAAGAGACTAAATGTCGCATGAGAAAGGCAAAAACTGCATTCTCGACTATGAGCTCTATACTTAAGAGCCATAACCTCACCCTAGAAACAAAAAATAAGGCTCCATAAATGGTACGTGTACTCAGTGCTTTTGTGCGGATTAGAAAAGTGGACATTGAAGGCTGAATATCTATCAAAATTTCAGGCTGTTGAGCTATGGTTATACAGAAGGATCCTGAAGATACCATAGACAGAAAAAGTCATCAATGAAGAAGTACTACATAGGATAAACACAACAGCGGCTTTGGTCAACATCGTGAAGGGCCGTAAAGCCGCGTTTTCACGATGACAATTAGCGAGACAATTGTCATTGGACAATTGTCATCACGTGGTTTCGGATTGTCGGAGGCCAGTCCAGTTGAACGAGAAGATGTTTATACTGGGCCAACTATTGCCATGGCAGTAGACAGCTAAAACATGTCAACTATATGTTTGTGCGTCACAGTGTTGCCACATTTTTTTGTATAAAGTATAGAAGTTTTTAAAATAGAAAGATACTTTGACGAAATTGTATATAATGTTTTAAAAAACTTATACAGAAGTAAAATGCTTCACACTTGTATTTAGGTATATACTTAGGTAAATGTGAAGTGTTTTACTTCTGTATAAGTTTTTTCAACGATGGTATACAGCCAACTACTGGGATTTTCCAATTAATTTTTATATAATGTTTTGTTATGAGAAGCCACAATTTTTGAATTCAAATTAAAAAGCATTCATAAAATAGTATTTTTTACTTTAAATATAGCTAAGTATTTAGTATATTCTTATGTTTAACCTAATTTTTTTATTTTCATTTAACTTTACTTTATTCTGTACTTTTTAAAGTTTCTAAACTATCAATTTTTACCTTAAGCATAATTTTAATGGTTTTTAGTATATAAGTATTTCAAATGTAAGATATAATTTTATTTTATAATACCTATTTATAGGTATAATTTTAAGGCTTTTAATTATATATGTATTTTTCACGTTTTTGTTTAATTATATATGTATTTTTCAATTTTAAATTTTCATTTCATATATATAAATCTTGCCCATAATTTTATATATATGAGAGTGTGAAATAATTGAGTATCTGTCAACACTGACGTATATTAAACTTACATTTAACGTCAAACATATCTATAGGTTATGTTCATTGTATGAAAATTAAATTTAACCCAAATAACACAAATTACTACTGGCAGCACTACTGGAATACACCGTTCACACGGCACCAATTGTCGCGACAATTGAGATTTCGAGTGGTGGAGGGGCTAACTGGGCACAGCTCATTGTCCTCAGTCTACTCCCGGAGACAACTGAATTTTGGGCCAATTGTGAGGGCAGTTGGCAAGGCAATTGGCCTGAAGTGTTTACACGAAGACAATAATTTCATGCCAGTCAGTTGTCTTCTGACAATTGTCTCGCCAATTGCCATCGTGAAAACGCGGCTTAAGCTGCAGTACTTGAGACATATAATGAGAAATCAAGGCAGATATGAGCTACTAAAATGCACTTTGCATTTAGAAGAGAATATAGAAAGATCTCAACTTTCGGAATGGACAGGTACCCTAAGAAGAAGATGAGAGTGTTAAGTAGTCGGAACTTAGAAATGCTAACATTGTTTAAAAAGATTTTTTTTAAAAGTAAAATATTTAAAATAAACATAAAACTACATCATCATTCTCTTTGCTTTTATCCTTTTTTTGTCACTTTACTCATCCATCCAATCATTCTCATTTCCTCCACATGCATTCGTTGTGCCTCTTTTTACCTATCTAGCATTCAGTTGCGTACATCACAGCTGGTCTTATAGGAGATTTATATAATTTTTTCTTCATTATGATTGGAACCTTATCTTTAAAAGAGCTGTCTAAATACTCGGTTTTTGTCTTATTAAGCTTTAAAAATTGTTCTCCGTTTTTGTTTTATATCTAATTTACTAATTAGATATAATTAGATATAATTAGATATAATATTACTATTACTATTATATATCTTATTATATTATAATATTACTATTTTATATCTTTTTTACTAATACTACGCTTTCACCATATATTAAGTATCAAGAAGATATTGTTCTTGTCCTTGTAGTTTCACTGTTATCTAATTCAAGACTAATAAAAA